TTTTAAAAGTACTTAAGTACCAAAAGTAAATTTCCTTTTTTATGTCAATGCACTGTTTTATTATTGTTGTATGTAATAGCTTACTTGCAATACCTCTGAAGCAACTTACAATACAAAAAAAATTATTATTATTTAACACCCCTACCCACCCCCACAAAAGCAGGATGGTAGTGATCTCACACAGCTCTTATGTGACATCAAAACAAAAATAAAAAAAAATGCTGTCTAATTGCTCTCGCTGTACTTTGATGTCACACACAGAATGGTCTGCAGTGCTGCTTCAAGTTTGCTACATAGTAACGACTTTCTACTTCGAGGACCTTGATAGAAATGTAGTGGAGTGAAAAGTACAATATTTGTCTTTCAAATGTAGTGAAGTTAAAGTCATAAGTTTCCAGAAAAAAATAATACTCAAGTAAAGTACAGATACTCAAAAAGTGTACTTAAGTACAATACTCAAGTAAATGTACTTAGTTACTGTCCGCCCCTGCTTAAAGGTGCACACATGCTTTTTAAATTTTATCAATTTATTTTATTTTATTTTATTTTATTTTCACCCAAGGGGTCAAAGTTATAAATCCAGAGTGGACTTATAAAGAGATAAAGAGTTTTTTTTTACATTTTCCAGCATTTAACAACAAAAACCAAACATAAACACTCAGTGTAAATTGATTTATCTGGATGTTTAATCTTATCATATAGTCACTGTAACTGTACATATATCTTACCTTAAGGAAGTCTAAACCTCTCTGTAATTCTCTTTTCTCTGTCTGAGCATCTGCCATTTTCAATCTGTCTCAGATTCTTTCTGCTTAATATTTTTTATCAGTGTAACAAGCTTGTGAAGCTTTTTAGGCCCAGCCTAGTCCCTTATAGTCCCTATATTTATTCATTCATTCATTCATTTATTACTTTTACCCGATTTGTCCCTACAATGAAAATGATATAAGCGGGTGAAGTTCATGAAGGGATGTCTTCTGAGCACCATGAATTCAGTTAATGCCATTTTATATCAGGTTCAGTGGATTTTTAGCCAGATGGGCTTATTAGGAAAAGTATGGGTTATTGCCGCCATTCTTTATAAGCCCACTTGAAATGAAGGTTATATGTATATGGGTTATAATTACAGACAAAACATTAGATCTTTTTTGGCTAAATGATTTTCTAAAATGTTTTCTTTTAATATGGTTATCAACTGTCTTTATCCATTTATGTTGTTACTGCATCTAACTTAGCATCACTTCAAGATTGCTCCACATACTCATTAAGTCTTTTTTAATTATACTATATTGCTTTTAAATACTATTAAAATAAATCATGTCAGATAACATTTGATTAGTTAATCTCTTCATTTTAAAATTCTTATCAATACTCGGCCAGTTTTATCACCAAGTTTTATGTAGGGCTTGCATGATTTCAAATAACTGAATAACTAAATATTCAGTCGGCTCCAAATAAAAAGTAAAATAAGAGTAGCAAATATCTACTTGCTTTAAAAATGATACTTCCTCTCACACTGTCTTTTTTATTTTATTTTCTATTTTTAAAAAGTTTGCCAGTGCACAATTCCTTCCCTGAAGACTCTTAAGAGCATGGAATGGACTT